ACCTGCCTCCCCGCCACTGTTCCATCGGACATTTCCACGAAGCGTCGTGAGCGACCGAGCGAGCAGGCCGGCCCACCGGTTTCCTACATGTACGTGGTGTCAGGCGGGTGGCCTCCTGGTGTCATGTACGTGCTGTCGGGCAGTGCCCTCCTGGTGTCATTGAGTACTCGTCTTTGTCAGTTTCGTCCAGTGAGGCGGCACGCGGGCCGCCGCTGAATGGGAGGCGCGTGAGCTGGCCCCAGCAGGCGGGACCTTTCCAGAAGTGCGTTAGCTTGGCAGCCGCCCGACCAATACAGCGACGGCCCAAATGTGTGAGCGTTTGTTAGTAGGGGCGTACCCAGATAGGGGGTGGTGAACTATTGACATCTGCGTCTGAGCGTGTTGTTAGTAGTGGCGTACAAGGTAGGGGGTGGCGAACTATCGACATATGCGTCGATGATACGTTTGCACACACGGTAGGTGCCTCCCGATAGAAACCCCCTGCGTGCGTGCGTGCGTGCGTGCGTATGGTGCACGCGTGGAGTACGTGCATGCGTGCGTGTGCTATGGTGTCGGTAGCCACCGCGTGAAACCTCAAAATCTTCAGTTAAAATAAAAACGCAGGTGATGTTTCGAACTTAATGCATTACATGCAACTGACACTGACACCCTTCAGGATATATACAGACTCGACTATATAACCTACGATTCAACTAAGCGCGAAAAAGCACTCATTGGAGATTAATCATAACGATGAGTGAAATTGTCTCACTCGAAGTCTGTTATAGGCCTTGGCTGTCTTTTTCCTACAACACTTCCGTATAGTAAGCACCATGCACTGAAGTGATTCATCACACCATTTCAAGGTTCTGATAGTATTTTCCTGATTAAAAGTATTTCAGTCATATCTGATCGGCACCGAAGGCTTCAAGACTGTAAGGGGATTTTTGCAGAGGGACTGGCCAACCTACCCGATGTTGTACTGCTCCTAAATACGGGGGGCTCGCTAACCAGCCGCACTGTGGTGACAACGCCGCTATTACGTCTGCATACCGTCTAATATGCGTAAAGAATCACAGATTTCCCTCCTAAACATCCTCCCAGGAAACCCGTCATTTTATTCGGCCTGTGGATCAAAGCTTATCAACCACTACGACGCGTTTGCAAAGTGTGACAGGCGAGGTGCGACAACGGAACTTTTGCGAAACATCCTCGTCACAGAACTTCGTAGAGTTGTATATCAGCAGACATTCTCGAAGAGCACATGTCAAAGACTTACGTCAGAGCTCACTGGTTTTTACATCTGGCGACACCCGGACCCTAAGCACTCGGCGACCCACCAAAATCTCCGAGGATTCCATCTCGCCGTACCACATAATCCGCGCCATTCGATCGCTGTTAAGTTGTGACGTGAATCAGAGACGCAAGCGAGGCGAGGACCACGTGACTTCTGACGCGCCGAGGGGCCCCAGATTTCATCTCGAGAATATCGTGCATGTGGAGGACCAGAAGTGGTGCACATAACACAGTTAGCGCGCAGCGGCTATCTCCGCTGCCCTTTTCTGACGCACGAATGCATAACCCGTTGTTTGAGGCTTTCAAGGCAGGTTAGGGTAGGTCGGATTTGAGGGAAGTCAGTAGGTTGGTAGGTTTCAGGGTAGGTTGTAGGTTAGCAGATTGAGGATAGGTTGGTAGGTTGGTAATTTGAGGTAGGTGGTCGGTAGTTGGTAGATTTGAGGATAGGTCGGAAGGCTAGCAGATTTGAGGTGGTCGGTAGGTTGGCAGATTTGAGGATAGGTTTGTAGGTTGGCAGGTTTGAGGGTAAGCTGGTAGGTTGTGCAGGTTTGAGGGTAAGTTGGGTAGTTGGTAGGTTGAGGTTACGTCGGACTGCGCCAACACCGCTAAACTGCCAGAAAACCTGCCGCTGAGCTGAGATCCACGACCGGATAATAGAGTTAGGGCTCACGCAAAAAGCACCGCTTACACAGCATCTACCTCTAATACATAAACACATCCAATAAAAAAGGTTCGGGCCAAATCCTAAAGACTTTTTTTCACCACCTATGCTACAACTATGCCCGTCTGCAACAACGTTTACTACAACAAAGTCGCAATGCAACGGCATGAAAAAATGAACGATTTTGGTCGATGGATATTTGAGGATCCAAGCCGTGGAAACTTACCGATCCGATACAGACATTTAAAAATTAAGTCAGTGGGCACTTGAAGAGCTCGCAGCTAACATCATACAGGAACAAGCCATCACATGTGCACGATTGGTGGCATTTTTATGTTCCTCAGTAGCCACATTTGTAATATTATAACATTTCATGATAGTAATGACGGTCTCCGCTCACTACGCAGCATGGTTTTATACAACTGAAAAAAAGATACGGGTGTAACCCTGGTAAGCATTCCATATTGGTCTGCGCTCAATCCGGAGCGCCGTGCGGGATTTTCTCTCTCATAAAAACGTCGCGAAGCACATTCGGCGGGCCGGTGGCGGGGCACATACCCACATGCAAAGAAACATGTAATTCATGGGCGTGAGAAAGCTACCCAAAACACAAATAATCATGTCCAAAGTGAGCTCATCCACAAAACCCTGACCTAAAACAGTCAGACCATAGGCAAGGATCTGGCTCCGGAGGACGCCAAACCGGGTCGCAGGAAGCATCTCCCTTCCAGGACAATACGGCCCCCCCCCCCCGTCAAGGTCTCCCGCCAAGATGGTTTCACTTAGTGAATTATTATGGGGACGTTTTTCGGCTTTGAATTCTACACTGATGTCTCAGCGGCAACGTTTTTTATGGTTTAGAAACCCTTGCCAGACTGAGGCGCGTCCCTGTTCACCGATGTTCCGAACCTGAGTGCGCCTCCGATGATCGGTCGGCGGGTCGTGACCAAGCCCACTGCCGGGGTAATAATACATCCTGGTATCGTGGGCTGCTGTGCGAGAGGCGCCGATTTCCTGCAGCGCTGAGGAGCTCTCAGACGTCCTAACTTTTCTTTCCGGTGGCAGAGTCTGCCCGCCAGCAGTTTTTACTTCCTGCTCCCAAGCCGTTCACCGCAGCGCCACGCAAAAATTGAAGCCATTAACGAAAATAATAAAGAAATCATGTGTAAGAACTTTAAGGGCATTATATCCAAAGAGACAATGCCAGGCCTTCGTTATTTTTGTAGGCAACATGCAACGCGAAGGGGAGTCTCAAACACAGCGCTGTGCGGTGCACCTCCCCGCATTTCAATTTGAGTATACGTCGTCGGCTCATGCGTATAGTCATTTAGATAACAATACTGGGTATATATGCAAATATCCTGACAGAGGCGAATTCCGGCACTGAACATATGGGAGACTGCTGGCGTTCCTCGCAGGGTTGTTGGTTCGTACGTTACAAAACAGTACACTAAAATTACCTTCATAGTGCACCGGGGCCAGACTTCCAGGACGTCAAAATTCGCCGCAGGCCACTGTACGTCTGCATTATTGGAGGCCAATAAAAGCCGGGGTTTGCTACCATCTTATTTTGGGACAAACACGTGCATCGCGCCGAATACGCGTCGCCACTATTTAGCAGGAGCGCCATCGGGTGTTCACAGATAGGAGCCAAGTGGGGGTTGGCGAAGAGAAAGTGGCGCTAATGGTCAGTCTCCTAAAGTTAAGCTGAATTGCCCCCAACGCAAAATATATTTCGCGTCACAAACAAGCTGCCAGGACATTATCTAACGTTCATATAACGGCACAAATGTACTAGCCCAAAATAACGATTTTGGCCACCCTGAAACTTCTAAGCTTTCATTTTCAGTGTTTAGGTTATGATACTCGAAAAAGCAATACGACACTGTAGTACTTGTCATACAATGAAAGATCCGTATCTTCCAAGTTGAACAGTTTCTGTCCCATGGTAACTGGTGCCTAGACATGGACAGTGGTCATCCATAATTTAACCTTTCTTACTACCCGTTTTTCACTTGGCCATCGTTTCAATTTTCTTACATACATATGACATTTGTCCCAAGAGAATATCAAAAGAGTTTCACGATATGGGAGGCCCATGTGAGGGGAGGGGCAGAAATGTATGATTTCGGCCCCCGGGGGGCCACGCCAACTTCAAGGGGAACCGACCTGGCTTTCCTTGGCCCAAAGGCCCCGTCCTTGGCTACACCACTGTATAAAGTAAATACCGATACGAACAAAGTTCCTGCGCCGCGTTCTTGACTAGCCCTTTGCTGGTCGGTTATCAGAAGCGATTACCAGTATGCGTCTGTTGTCGCAAGACGTGCGTTATGCGCGCATCGTAATAATTCATCGTGTGGACACCGGGATGTCGGTATACACTATCTCAGTGCGCGTGGCCCGTCCGCACAAACACTGCCTTCTCAGACTGGGACAGCCGGAACCCTGGTCTCCGCCTCCCCAGCGCCGTTCCACCCATCCCCACCCCTGCATTGTCTGCATCCGCCGCTGGCTCTCCCGAAGTACCCCTCCCCAACGCGTACCGCACCCTCGCACCACGCGTCCGCCGACGGCGGGCACGCATGCCGGCGCGCAGGGGCCCGCGGGGTTCCACTGCACCCCAGCGGGCGGAACGGTGCGGGAGGAGAGGGGAGGGAGACCCGCCCGCGGATGTCAACCGCCGGGCGCCCGTCTGACCTCTGCAGGTCCCGCCTCCCGCGGTGTTCCAGCGGCCGCGGTCCACGGCCGACACACTCGTGATTCCGCGGCCGCCGACCGCCGCCCGGCAGCCGACGTTAACGGCCGCCCCGGGGCGAATCGATGCATCAATCAATAGATGCGGCAAGCGGAGGGCGGCGGGTCGCCGCCGCCGCTGTCGCGCTCGCCAGCACGACCAAAGGCGAGTCTCTGTTCCCCACGTGGCACAGAAAACCCGCCGTGACAGCGGCGGCGGAAGGCGCGGCGTAGCCGAGGCGGGAGCAGAGCAGGTGGTGCCGTGTCTAAGCGGCGGCGGCACGCGGCACGGCCGGCGCTGTGCGGCGCGAACCCGCCGCCGCCAACGTACCTGCGCCGCTGCCGTGCCCAGTTCGCTGTCGAGACACGCTACCGCCGGAAGATCACTGCACAGGCGCTCGCTCGCAGTCGGGCGCCCAGTCCCGCGAACGATGGCCGCCAGCCGGCCGGGTACGCGCCCGCCAACAGCTCGACAGAGATGGCCACTGCGCCGACGCGACGGGCACGCACACGCCAGCTGATCGGCCGCCGCCGCCGCACCGGCCGGCCACCACGTAGACCGCTCAGTCACGCCCCGCCCCACCGCTCGGTCGCCGTCCGCCATCCTGTCGGCCAGTCTGAGAAGCAACGTCTATAGGGAAGCGCCGTTGGTTAACGAGTGCGCTGCCGGCGACATGGACGGAAAATGACATGATGTGCGACGTCATTACAAGTGTAGATGACTAACTTACAAAACTGGTAGGGTCGACAATAAACACTGCCACCACCAGCCCAACGATCGCCGTGAAAGCCGCGAGATTTCACTATGCAATCTAGGCGTCGGCGAGGGAGACTGAAATTCAGAGGCGAAGTCTATCTTGGCAAGGGACGGGGTGGGGTGGCACGTAGCTTAATCTAGGGTCCCCCTGAAAAAGTCCTTACCCCTTACAGTCATCGAATATAGCCTACGTTCTTCGAAACGGGCGCACTTTCTTCTTTTTCAGTCATGCCGACGGACCCTCCATTGAGCTGCTTATCGATTGGAGGCTCAAAAAGACCCTTTCTTTTCGCCACCCCCCCCGTACGTAGAACTTCAAGGGGCCCATTTCCCCCTTCCAGCCAGAGGCTAAATGGCCCTTTCGTCCCATCCCGCGAAACATACAAGCCACCATCCTGGTGGCACGGCCCCTGTCGATTCGGAGGGATATGGAGGGAAGCATCATGCATCGTCCCCTCCAGTGGCGCCGCTACGGGGCGGGGTGGAGCACGGGTTGTCGATTTGTATTCTTTTGGTGGGCCACTGCCCCCCCCCTCCGATATCCGATTTAGCCCCCCCCCCAACAGTGAGTTTGACCCCTAACTTTCTAGAGCCAAAGTACAGGCAGTGCAGCGCAAATGGGAAACAAAAAATATATCAAGTCAAAAAAGGTTTCTCCTAATTGTTTCACAGGCAAAAAGACAAAGAAAATGAAAACCGCGGTGTCATGTCCAGTTGATTGCAGCTGACCGAGCTAGTCACGCTTTAAAAGCTCCTCTTCGCACCATGGTTACTGGGTATTGAGTATTGTCTGTTTTTATTGCATGATGCCTGCTTTTAATTACACGATGAATGTGTCTTGTTGACGCAGATATCGTTTTTTGGTATTTCTCTGAGTGTTTTTGCACTATCCAACGATGTTTAAACACTCACAGACTGCAGCAAGTTGCATTACTTTGCCACAAGACGAAACGATGTCTTACCGGAAACTAAAAAGAAACCGGTTAAGTGTTGGCACCCAGAAAAGTTAACAAATTTTCAGACGTTGACGTTCGAAAAACCCTCGAAAAAGCCAACTTTCAATAGACGTGAATATTCGATGGTGAACAGTTATGAAACTTGATGGTTCATCAGCAGCCCACTAAAGCGATGGCAGCAGTCGTCCAACAATAACCACCAAACACAACATTAGCCGGTGTCGAACCACAATCAGACTCCATTACGCTGAGGGAAAAGTAGGTCAAAGCGGGAAGAAACCTATTTTAAATGTATTTATAGCTAGCGCTTCCCGCTCAGCCTCCACCAGCCTATTTTGCCGAAAATACACGCCTGCGGTCGAGACCGTGAACACGTGACAGTTTCGCGACCAGATTTACTTCAGCGTCAGATCTAGGATTCAGGGCCCATTTCCTAAGTAGGGACAAGGTCAGGCCCACGATGTACATTGGTCGGGGCCGCTGGGACAATGAAGGGCCCCTGTATCGATCTGGGGACCACAGTGCATAACAATGGTCGTGTATGGCAAGGAGCCCAGAATCGCCTGCAGCAGTTTTCGAGGGGCCCCGCAGAAGGACCTTCGATCAAGTGCCTAATTGAAAGGCACGAAGGACTCGTTGTAGGTCACATTAAGGACCTCGGTTTGCAGGACCGGACCCTGAAATGCCAGTCAGAGAGTCTCTTGCGCCGTTTAGGGACACCCTGGGACGATGAGGGCCGGTCAGAGACGACCAACGACGAACAGTCGGCTCGGCATCGGTCTGAGCCCGGGGAGCCCATTCCCCAAGCAAGGACACGGTTGGGACCCGCCATTTGCATTGGTCGGGACCACTGAGACAATGAGGCCCCTGCATTGGTCAGGGGCCCACAGTGCCTAACAGAGGGCTCTGTGTCGGTGAGGGGCTCCGAGTCGGCCGGGGGGTACTGGGAGCATAGTTAATAAACAGAGAAAATATGTCGTTTAGAGCAACCTTTTCTCCTTAAAATTTTGCCGATAGTTTATAAGTGAGCTTGTTTAATCATATCTGATGATTGCTTCAATATCTTCAAATGTGAAAAATTCCCTTCAAGTAGAAAGGATTTCTCTGGACAACGCAATATCTCTGTAAAGTAAATATCCTCTCAATACGGCATTGTCTGATTGCGTCATCATACCCTGCACAGTATTGATTGAGAGCCAACTGGCGCCCGTTATATCTGAAAATCGTGCTCACGAACATCAGATATGTGCGACTCGACAATCTTATTCTTTTTTGGCCTTTATCACAGCATGGCTATGACGGCGGGTTGTAGTTAGATTAATATGGCGTCATGGATGCCTGGGTGACCTTGAAATAGTCTCCCCGAAAAAAGTCTGCAAATCTTCGCCGGCCTGTAGCCCAGTAACAAGATGGGCTTAGGTCTTAAGAAGAGCGGGACTGTAAACTGCGAACTGCGCCGAATGATCTTCAAAATAACTGTTGCAATTAAAACACCACATACAAATCCAGAAAACACTTCTTTTGAGCTCCTGTACAAGAAATCTCACTAGCACCACTTTTAGGTGATCTTCTGAACGGCTGAGCATCTGATCTGATCGCGCATCTAAACAGCAACAAGAGCAGTTGTGATTACGCCATTACGTCATGAGTCAGTTGTGCTGTGCGTGCTGCACGCGCTAATTCTGTTCCGAGTGTCGATCTGAAAAGAGCAAAGGTGAAATCTACGGCCCGGGATTGCCTTCTGTATGCGAACGAGTTTAACGATTTCCGATAGGCGGTCGTTTTCGCCCCTCGTTGATGCCGCCAAACATTGCTGGTACCCCGACGCGGCGTTTCCCATGGAGACTGCAGCGTCGGGCGCCGCTGTTCTTTCATACATTTAGGCTTAAAGCGTACACGCTTTAAAACTATTTTAATCTTTTTCGCTAATGGATTCTAAAGTGGTTATAGTTTTGCCCAATTGAGCAAGGCTGGAGATATCGATGCAAACTTTTGACACGGTTCAGATCTATGCTGGCGTTCAATCTACGAGTCCGTCGAGATGTTTGTAAAACCCTGAGAAAGTCCTGCAACGCATTTGACTGTCAGCTTTCGATCGAAAGGGCGGAATGAACGATTGGAAAGTGAATAGAGCCGGTGGTTTATGCGATTCAAATTGCAGTTATTGATCTCCTGGCTGATGTCACTTCATTTCCTTATAAATGCATGCAACATTGTATCGTCAAGTAGCTTCTTGATTACATTCAGTCAAAGAAGTTCAACATATCACAGAAAAATAGATATTTTGACACAGACAGCCAAATCCTGTGGCCCATTTTGTGGGAGATTAGGGAGACTGAGTGCTCTGCTGCTTTTCCAGCAGCATGGCTCTTTGTTAACTGTGCTACCCTTCTTCCCTCTGATCCCCTCTTCTTTACGTGCTTCATATTCATGCATATCCACCTATGTCTAGACCTCCACGGTGCGCAATGGACATAGTTTTCCGATTCGAAAATAAGAATCTGAAAAATGAAATGGCCGTAATCCGGGAAATTTTGTCAGGGGATCATTAAGTTCCAGGAGGCAGCACAGTGAAACCTAAGCCCTCTTGATGCAAGCCTAGATCCGCCCCTAGTGATACGCTTGAAAAGTAAACGATGAAGGGTTTTTCTCCGTTTGTACTGTAGCCGCAGGACATCCATGGCCCACCCAATGACCTGTGACATCCGTGGCCCACCCAATGACCTGTGTAGCACGAAGCCAATTGCAAAGACGCGCTTGAATTTCACATTCATTCACAGGTGTTTGAAATGCGATGCTTGCGCCTCGTTTCATTAGCACAGAACATGAACCCTTTGAACGAAATAGCTCAGTTATTAGGCTTTTGTGTCGTAAAGAATGCATAGATAAAAGCCTGATTTGAAGCGTGCCCCCATGTTGCCAATTTTAGTACAAGTTATTGAATTGCCTTTATTTCCAAGAACAAATAGTACTGATAGCCAGGTACCACTTCCCGAGGCCCAGACAAATATTGTAGGGGCCCGGCCCATCATTGGGGGAGGGGGACAGCTCATTGGGAAGAATAATAATGATTGGGGCTTTAGGGCGCGTGGACTTCAAGGGTCATTTTGCGCCCATAACAGCTAAGTGTTTACCGTGGTGTGTAAATGGCTGTTGAATCCTACGTTTCTCGAAAATGAAAACAGCTGTCCGGTGCCAAGCATGCGAGAATCGTCACCAATAAGGTCTGAAAAGGTAAGACCTGACGCATCTCGTCCGAAGTAAAGTGCCCACTCTTCTCTGAACTGTGGGCAAGAGTGAACAACGTGTCGAACCGTAAGTGGCGCATCACAGCGAGGACATTTAGGGCGTTCTTCACCGTACAAAAGGTAGCTACGTGTTGCGTGCGTGTGGCCAATTCGAATCTGCTGAGGGTTCTTCTTCGCGTCTCAACGTACGTGAGCTTGAAGACCACGGACCCAGTTGTGGTTGATCATCTTTAACTTAGTGTTTACAATGGCGTCCAGCAGCGTTGCCATTTCCCCTTCACAATGGTCGCGATTGCAGGGTAAAAGTCCCTTGCCGGCAAGGGTAAAGAACGGGTGCAAAGTGCACGCGCTGCCCGTTTGCGGTCGCGTCAGCACGCTCGCTACCTGCGATACTCACATGGCTCGGTATCCAACATAAGACGACAGTTTTACCAGCAAGATCCAGCGCTCTCAGGCGAACTAAAATATCCTGTATAATGGGGCAAGGTG